TTCCTTCATAAACACCAAGTGGGCAGCTGATCCAAAGCCAAAATCAAAGACATTCTGTTAAAATGCAGCGTAGGAGTTTGCTTCTTTTCTTCCTTTCATGTCTGTTCTAAGTTCATCTGCAGCAACAAAACTGCTTGATCCAGATGCTCCTCGCTCCACAGACAGAGGCAGAGTAAGTGCTCTATTTTGTTCTCTCGGCAGACAAGTAGAATATTCCGGAGGGAACAAATCACCCTTCCCCCGTGCAGAGAAGTTGCTTATTAAAATATTGATGTGTATTTAAGAAGGACATCAAGACTCTTTTCGTCTCTCCTCCCAGCAAAGAAACACCTTCATGTACAGTGATGTGAATGCTTAGTCAGCCAGGTGCTGTAGTTTTCAGCTGAATGACTGCATCCATGGAGAGAGTTTAAAAATAATCCAGTGATCAGGCTTTGGATCCTTTCTTCCCGGCCGTTTCATCTTCTACTGTAAACTCCTCTGAACTTTAATGATTGGGATTTGTATCGGACTCATGGTTTATTCAAGGACAGGCTTAAATTCTCTGTTGTGGCTCTCTGACAGCCTGGGGGATAGACATCAAAGTGTCTCTTAGGGTGCTTTGCCCCTTTTCACATTCTTCTTCCTGCTGCATCACAAAGCCTAGAAAACGGCTGCTGAAGGAAAAGTAAAAACACTAAAAGGAAGAGCGAAAACGGTATCCTTTGTGGACTGATCATTTCATAGGCTGAGGCTTGAACACTGTGACAGTTTCATATTGTTATCATTGACAACTAGTTAGGTGGCATTATTTGAATAATTTTAATGTTAAGTTTATAAGATCGTTGTGTTTGATACCATGACAACTTTTTCCACAGAGGTAGTTCCATGACCAGTTAGGTGCCCACATCAGAATCAGTTTCAGAAATTGGGGCAGGATAAACCTGAGCAACAACAGTTCATTGTGAGAGTAGAGAGTTGTTGCAACTCAAGAATAATACAAGTACCATTACTTTTTTTGGGTCCATAACTTGTTATTGATTAGTCAGAATGGCTTCGATGGCTACATCATCACCACCACGTGAAAGTCTCTGTGAATAACCTGAACATTAATCATTTTATGAACATAATATTGAACGTGTGTGGAACATCGATACAAGAACACATACAGTGTTGTATCTTCACAAAGTTATCCGGCAGGGCGACTGGTTTAGGGATGATATTGGTGTAAGAGGGTCAGTGCTTTGATACCCAGCCCTTGCAGTAAGCATGTGGAAGATATTGAACTCCAAAATTACCCTTGTAGGCATATCTACGGTAAAGAAGACATTCTTTATATGACATTTTCTTTTAGATGAATGTGTGTTAATGCCAAAAAAGTCAAAATCAAAGTCAAGTTAACCTTATTGTCAATTGTCTGTGTGTAATACAGACAGGGAAATCAAAATTATGTTTCTCACCATCCCAAAGAATAAATATATACTTGTGTATGTCGGTATATATATATATATACATACACACACACCTGTATAGCCACATACAGTTTACATATATATATATATATATATATATATATATATATAGTATACACATACATACTGATACATAGACACATATATACACACGTATAAATAAAAAGAAGAAGGCACAGCAGTAAATATATCAAAAATAATGGTCACAGATGTGATGGGGATGAATATGAATTTAAATATTTTTTAAAAGAAATGTTTTTAAAGCTGTCTCCTCCAAAGGAATCAGTCATGTTTCATACATGCATCTGATTTACTTAGTGTCAAAGGAACTGACAGAATCCACTGCAAACCTAGAGCGTGCACATCATGTGTTCCACCTCGCGGCAGCAGGCTGAGAACCAGTGAGTCCATTTGGGATTCTTTCTCCTTCACTGTGTTTCTTGTAGATTTACCTGCCAGCCTGTGTGTGTTGGAGAAGCCAGGCGCTGGCTGGGAAGTGGCTCAGCTACAATAAACCCTGATTGTTTGAAGCAGATAGCTATTAGTCGGGGGAGAGTGGGAGCCATTATGGTGGAAATGAAGCATTGTTAAAGAAACATAAGACTTCCCTCAGCGGATGATAGCCTCCTGAAGGGGTCTCAGATGAGATCTCACAGGTGCACTTGGGAGGGGAGCGCTGATCATTACACTGGGAGAATTATAGCGGCTCATCAAATCTCCTCAGAAATGAATATTAAGTCTTATTACGAGAAGGATAGGGAGGGTAAGAAGCCATCGTTGTGAGCAATTGACAAGAATTGTTTGGCTTTTACCATTTAGCTTTTAACAAGAAGTTTACCAATTGACTGAAGTGTAACAGAATCATTGCACTGCGCCACATAAAGAAGTGTTGGAAGGAAATATGTCTGGCACGGAACAAGCAGTGAGGGAACAAGGACAGAGGAGTTGTTTAAAGATATCTGGGTTATTTCATCCAAAAAATGGGAAATCCTTTTAAACCAAGAATCTCAACAACTAGGCCAATATAACAGGTCAATACAAAATAACTGATCAATATAACAGGTCAATACAAAAGAACTGATCAATATAACAGGTCAATACAAAATAACTGATCAATATAACAGCAACTGAATATGGTGCTCTCAACAAACTGACCTCACAATCTTCTTCCTATTTTGTGTAGGCCTATAGCTTGCTGCTTTGGATCCTTTGAGTCAACACCTTAATATAGTCTGTGTCTAACAACAAGCGGGTTATGGGGGGTGGGACTCAATTCAGCTATGTGTGTGTCCAACAATGAAAAAGGAGGGAACACATTTAGTAACTTTGCCAAACAAAATAACACACAGGGGATAACTTAAAATGGTCACACCACACTAAACAAACTAACTGAACCCATAGCCCCCCCATGACATGAAAGCACATGGTTTGGCCCAATTGGCTGCTACCAGAACGTAAGTGTCCTCAACACTTAGCCCCACTCTTTTGCTCCACCAGGAAGAAACCTACCCAACAAGCATGATAACTCGAAGACAAAGAAAGAATGATTTTATAGCAAACTAAATCTCATGTTAACCTGACAGTGCTAAAGTGTGAGCACCTAAACTAAACAATGTGAGGTTAAAAGCAAATAAACCATTTGAATCCACTGTGTGGTGGAGAGCAGCTGAAATGAACCTGTGTAGGTGGAAACTAATGGAGGTGAGTGTGCTTTAGGATTACATTACCATGTGCGGCTGTGGCCGTCTAAATTCAGCTTTAGGAGATGGAGTGAGTCTGTGAGCGAATGTGCCTGTCTCCATCCAGAGCATGAGACACGTTTCCTCTGCCTTCATGTCACAGTGAAGCAGAGCAGTGAACAGGGACAGATAAAGAGCGGGACTGAATTTCAGATGTATTCTCTGGCTATGAAGTTCTACTTTCTGCTGTCAAAATCACTGCAGCTCTGTGAAATGAGCTCAAGACAGATAACTCAGTCTGAATCTCTTCCTCTGAGTAGAGAGATACATATACAGTATACAGTATACGCATAATGTGCTTATAGTGGAATGCCATTCAAATAAACGACACAGCAGCAAGTCTAATTATAGCAGAACTCCAATAGAAATGTCTGTTCAGTCCTTCCAGTTTCTCAGCTGACAGCAACTGCTGAATTCCACACTAAATCCGTAAAATAATGGATTTTTGTACAGTCCCGCATAATTTAAAATTCCACCATAGCAGTTTTTAACAATGTGGCTTAATGCAATACTGTGAGTTGTTTCATGTAAAGTAAAATTCATCTGAATTCCACTGAATCTTTCAGTGTGTAACAAAGGCCCCATGCTCACTGTTGGCCCATCAGTTTGTGGTAATTGTATAATTGTAATGCTGGTACAATGGAAAGTCAAATACCAAGCACTTAGAAAAAGCTTAATCCCTACATAGGATGCCGCTGTGGCTCATTAGAAAGAATAGTTGTCCATCATTTAGAAGGTTGGTAGTTAGATCCCGACCCCCAGCGGTCAACATGCTGATATGTCCTTGGGCAAGATACTGAATCCCACATTTTCTCCCGATGGCATGGCCAAAGGTGTGTGAGTGTTTGAATATGAGTTAGAGCAGGTGGCACCCACATATTGCCTTGGTATACCTTGTGTGAATGGGTGAATGCTGAGAATACTGACTTGTATTATGTAAAAGCGCTTTTTAGGGGTCGCAGAGACTGGACAGTTGTATACAGCTGCCTAAATGCATGTCCGTTTATCATTTGAGTTAGTGTCTTTGTGTGATTAAGGCAGAGCTGGGTCATCAGTTCCAAGGCTTTCTCTGCTGGACAAGAGAATGAAATGTCTTCTAATTTATACAGTGTGTATGTCTCAGATAGTCACATGGCGTCTGAGGTAGTTCTCTGGGCTCTGACTGACTAAGTAGACCCCCAGCGCCTATTCTCAACTCTCTCACCATCTGTGCATTACAGATTCAGTGTTCAAATCAAATCAAGTTTTATTTATATAGCACATTTATAAACGATTTTTGGTCGAGCCAAAGTGCTGTAGCCTACATATAATAAAAATAGCCTACAGTAGAGACACTTTACAGCAAATACAACAGCACAGAGTGTTGCCAGTAGCAGTCCGTGATTTTTCTAAACCGCTTTCGGAAGACCTCAACATCATCATTTGACGTAACCATACCTTATCAACATTTAAAATATAAGTTTTTAAAAAATCAGAGCTTACAGAAATCAATAGCTTAATGTAGCAAAAACAAATGAAATAATGATAATAGAGGGGGAATAAACTATGGAAAAAACATTTGCATTGCTAATAGCATTTACTGTCACTTCCTGCTGAACCATTATTCCAGACTGTCCCGGGGTGCATTTAAGTGTGGCCCCTCTGTCTCCCCCTTTCAACTATGTCTCTCTTACAAAAACACTGGTGACCTAAATAAAACAATTGATGGAGAGGTTTTCCGCCAAAGTACAGTCAGGAAAATGAAACCAGAAATCCATTATTGTGGTACGAATCCATCCATCTACATGTTTTTCTCTTCTGTTCTCTGCAGCGTCCGCCTCTGAGGATGGTCGATCTATCACTCCTGGGGGGACTTCAGAAAGCGGGGCCAGCTTGTACTCCACCACCCAAGACACGGGCAGGAGGCTCCCCATTGTCACCACCCCCTTTCCTGTCAACGTCCCCAACCACCACCCATTCTACAGGAATCCCCCCCAACACTCTCAGCCAAAGTACTTTGAAGACAGCAGGTTATCCAGCTCTCATTCCAGCTTCCCCACCCTACCATCGGGGGCTCCGCCGGATAATAACGGAGATAAAAAGGCTTCGGATGAGTTCATTGGAAGCTCCTACATGCAAACAACCCTTGTAATGCATGAATTAGCAGTCACTCATCACTCCCACAACCCTGTTCCAGTCACCAGCCAGGTTTTAAAAGATCAGGCTGCCAACATCGCCTCTGCTGCCAGAGACGAAGATGAGGTGAGGTCAGAAGAGCCTGAGCTGAATGTGAAGCCCAGCAGCGATGAAGAGGAGACGACCACCACCACCATAACCACCACAACCATCATAACCACCATGCAGAGTCCAGGTATAATATACCACGTAGTATTTGATGATTTGAAAACAAGTATGGGGGAAATATTCTGTATTAACCTCAGTGCTGTTGTGTCCATGCAGATGTGTTTTCCTGTAACTGAACATTCCAAAATTGTACATCAATATTCTATATATGTTATTTTCAATTGTATGGTGATAGTTTTACATTATGGTCATGGCTTGAATTGAAGCTAAACATCCTACATATATAACTTCATTATTTTTCATTTGAATGAATATGAAAGTAATAGCAGAAATCTCAACCTCGTCACCTCTCCCAGTATTGTTGCCAGAGAATACTGGGAGATATTTGATGATTTATTATTAACATTTTATTATTCTTCAATTGTCACTTGATATTCTAAAATTGTAGCAAAACATCCTAGACTTTGATTTTAATTTAAAATTCTTGAACTGTAACTTAAAATTCTAGAAACTAAATATTCTATAATTTTGAACATGACATGTTATAAAAAAACGTAATGCAGTTGTGGTTTAAGATAGAACTTTACATACATCTGAAGTATGTTGCTTTTTCCAGGAACTTCCCCACATATGTATAGTTTTTAATATTGCAATGCAAGGACTTCAATCAAGAGGCCATTGAGCAATATACGTGTTACCTGTTTTGGTGATAGTGATTCATGTGATGGGTTGTGACTGGGGTTGGGGGAAACTATCTTTAAATGCATCTGAAATACGGAGCATTCAGTCAGTTTATATATTGCTCTTCTAGAAGAACTCGGCTGGGGTTTTTTGCCTTGTTAAATATTCCATTCAAATACAGCCACTTTTGAGCTTATTCCCCCAGGAAGGTGAAGGCCCGGTCAGGCTCTCTGGGAACTGTTTACTTTCTCTAACTCAGCCCCATTGATGAACACAGGACATGTATGTTACTTTATGAAAGTAGATTAATCAAACATATGAAGTCCATAAAAACGGCCTCTTAACAACAATATCATATTTCTAAGAACATATACTTATATTTTCTAAATTCTTGTAAAGTGTAAACTACTTTTACGTGACAAAAAATATTATGTTGACATATACTGTATGTTTTGTGAACAATTCTTAACACATTGGTTAACAAATTAGTTTTGACATTTACACACCACCTTTAACATGTACTAGGTCTTTTTAAGTGCCATAAATACCCTTCGTAAATGCCCAATACATGTTCTTGTCTTTTAGTCCACTTTTGTAACAGTCTTTTTAATATTTCCAATAACAATAATATACCTTTCTATGGACCATGACTACAGTTTGTATCTTACCCTTACTATTCCAAAGACATGGAAAGAGATTGTAGAGATTTTTCTAAAGATGGCTACTGAATGTACAAAGTAGTCGGTCAGACTGTAATACCGGTAAAGCAGTGTTAAGAGGCATTTCAGATACTCAAGAGTAAAGCAGACTTTCTTCTCCTTGTTAGTTGTACATGAAGCCGTTGACAAGAAAAAAGGTTAAGGAATGAGCCTTTTCCTCTCCGAAAGACAAATATGATGCACCATGCCAAATAGCTACATCAACACAAAACAATATATTTATGAAATGTGTGACCTTATTTATAGGGCAATATGAATGTATTCATCTTCTTGTCTTCACACCCTAACTAATATATTTTCCATGTTATCTCTCACGATCACACAGCCACGGGGCTGAAATAAACTACATCTGCATCGCTGCATCACTAACCCTTAATCAAGAGAACACGGCATAACACTCTTTGATGATTTGTCATGAAGAGAGCGGATGGGGAAAATAAATATCAGGGAGGTGATCTGTGAGTGGACTTTGTAATCCTGAAGAGACAGACGAGTAGCTTGATTAATCAGCTCATCTGTGTGCAGGGTGACGGCAGGTCAAAGACAGACAGACTGTACTGTCACAAATCCCACTCTCATGCACCCAGGCACTCGTTGAATGGCAGCACAGTGCAGTTATAATTCTGGAGTGGACGGTCCCTAAGGTGAAGTGCCAGAGGACACAGAGAGGATGTTCTTCATAATAAGGAAGTGCTTGGAAAAAGTTAACTTTTTAGCTCAGAGAGAGGGAGGGTATGAAGGCCACTATAAACTATTCTGTCCCGAGCTGTCCCATGGCAGGCTGAGCTGCTTGGAAAGGCAGCCAGAGAGGCGGAAGACCTTCCAACAAAGTCACACAGGGTGTCTAGGTGTCTACAGTACGTACAATATAGTTACACTACATCATTGCTGGAAATGGAAATGCAGCATTGCTACAGGAGACTGGGCCAACTAGAGACAACAAGACAATTGACTGCTATATATATAGCCGACTGTCAGGGAATACTTTCCATAGATGTTTACCTTTTGCCCTCTGACGCAGATGCCCAGCCTTGGGCAGCATGCTATCTCCCTTAAGGAGGGGCTGCCCTAGCATTTTGTTGTTGTTACCAGTTTGTGACCGGGCAACTCTCGGTCAGAGATAGTTATTGTTGTGGGACACCTGGAACACATCCTTCTCGGGGTGTATATGACCCCGAGCCATAAGCGACAACAAATGTGATTCAGTGTCCTCAGCTGTTTAGTTTATCTATTGAAGAATGTTGATTATTACACTCTGAACTAGTTCAAACCTGGAACTACTGTACAGGAGGGTTCTTCAGAATTGATTGTGTCAACCGTGTGGTCAACTCGTGGCCCGTGACATGTCTTTCTCCGGCCGAAGCTTCAAATAAACCGTCAGTGTTTGCCATCAAAGCTCTCCTCTCCTGACTCTCCCTTGCTTCAGAAGTTTCCCCCACACCGACCATGATAGAATTGCAAAGACTTTACAATCCATGCAACATATGGCAAATGCGATTGTGTTTGGATTAGAAAATAAATCCACCTATGGGCCAACAGACATTAACAAAAACATGTGTGTAAAGACTCTGTTTAAAATATGCCTTTGCATGTCGTAGATGTCTCTTGAGAGTATCCAGCATCTCTTTACAGGACCTGTGACATACAATATCAGCCATAGCTGCAACTGCCGGATGCTTACATGCAACTTATCTATACAATAAAGATAGCATACAACGTGGAAAAGTGTTGTGACTCGACAGATATGTTAGGTTTAGTTATGTTTTTACTCTAGTTTTGTGTTTTGATCTTGTCACTTCCTGTTTTTATTTTGAAAGTAATCTTTCCTGTCATTTCAGATCCCACATTTCCTGCCTTTGTGTGTTTCCCGCCCGTGAGATTGCTTGGCCCTGCCCTGATTGTTTTCACCTGTGCCCACCCCCCTCACCTATATATAGCCCTGGTGTTTCTTTGTTCCTTTGTCAGTTCGTTATGTTTCATGTCGTGAGCACCTAGGCCTTTTGACTCCTGATACGTACCTTGTGATTTAGACATTTTGTCAAGTGAGTTTTTGTGTTGCTGTACAACTTTGTTTTGGCTTTTTAACTACCTTCTATTTTTTGAAAGTACGATTTAGTTTTTGTGATTAAAGAACATTCTATTTTTGGACAACTGTCTCTGAATCCTGCTTTTGGGTCCTGCGTCCTGTGTCTCGGTTCATAACAAAAAAGGTTCTAAAAGGACATCCTTGATAGTGGCAAAACATATCAATCAGTTTCCGCCATTCCTCAACATTTCTCTCTTTATATCCAGAAACAACGTCTGTCTTTGTTTTCTCCAGCCTGAGCCAGAAGCTGACCTTTCTTTCATTGCCTTCTTCAGCTTTCCTCCTGTTTCTCCTGCATCCCTATGAAGCCTAAGGTTGACAGCACTAATTTAAACTCGGCAGATGTTGGTCGTCCAGCCAGCCTCCCTGCACTCAGCTGCTATGAACCCTGGACCGTCTTTCATTCAAAGGCGACCTTAATTCCATCTTCCAATGGTACAATGAGGTCATAGAGTACAGCTTTTACCGTAGTGGACCACACCATGTCAGGAACTTCTTGTTCCGAAACCACTGGTAGAGGTTCCTCTGACAGGGAAGCTTATTGTTGGTTGACCTGATAAATAAGTGGAGTCTTGCCTGTGGGATATTCCACAAGTCTGAACAACTGATTTTCCAGTCGACAATAGAGGCGGGGGTGTTTGTGAAAACAACGGGGACAGAGCTGCTGTCAGACGATCAGCTGTGCGGCGTCATCACAAACAGACGTCGCTTCACGTGGCACTCCGGAGGAAAGGACGTCCCATTGCTCTTAAAACTAATTTCCCTGCTTCTCGTGGTTTCCTTGCGTCTCTCCATGCTTCCCTGGTGGGAGGGACGCAAGGATTCCATTTAATCGACCTGAGATGCAGCCTTGATCTTGTAGCTTCCTTCCTCTGTCCTTGTCACCTCTTCTACCACTATTTCCTTTCTGTTTCTGGTTGGCCATGGACTAGAGCCTAGTCCTACCCTATTGATGCCCTCTCTGCCTGGACCCTGCAAACTATTTATTGCTGCTGCAGTCTACCTACCACTTGGTTGACCTAGGCTTGGGCTTTCCACTTTCGGCCAGTCAAGACCATGGGCCTTGTGTTCCTTATTGCCTGAACTCTCTTTGAGATCCTTATAGACTTCTGTTTGTCGCCCCACAATGAAAGATTTGCATTGGTTGCTGCAAGATGTTGTCCCTAAAATGGCCAGTTCTTAGAGAGACACCTCAGCAGCACCAGCCACATCAGATGAATGAGTCAGCCTTTCTATTCATCTCACTTACTATAGATGATGGGATTTGTATGCTTCCACAACACCCTCTGGTAGAAAGCGAACTGCCAGCACAAGACTGTGTGTGTGTGTGTGTGTGTGTGTGTGTGTGTGTGTGTGTGTGTGTGTGGTGTGTGTGTGTGTTGTGTGTGTGTGTGTGTGTGTGTGTGTGTGTGTGTTATATGTCAGCACTACTTCCATTAGAAACATTTCAATGGTGCTGTTTTGTCCTTGCAGTTCCCTGCCAGATGAACCTGACCGGGCCAGACGGATACATAAAAGCTCCTCCACAGTCCAGCTCTGCTTTTCAATCCACTATGGACTGCAGCTACGTCATCACTGTCTATATGGGCTATGGAGTGGAGGTACAGGTAAGAGAAATACTTAACATTAATCCATTCAGCATTTCACGGACCTATGATGCTCACCAGCAAGCTTGAGTCATTTAAAAATCCTCAATAAATGCTCTTTTGTAAAACATTTTCTTTGGGAAGGAAAGTTGTGTATTTGTTGGACAGAGATTGATGGTCTGGTTATAATGGGGCCAAACAGACTGATGGACAGAGAGAATGGTTGAATACATGTGTATGGTTTTCTAAACCTGGGGTGTGCTAACCGGCATTTACTATAGTTGTTAGGCTATATCTGACTATAGATCACTACGTTGTACAACCCCTCTTCAAACTATCATAATTATTCCCTATTATGCTTGTTGCACCTGCTGTAGTGTCCATTGCTCGTTTAATTTATTGTATGTATATTTGCTAAATTGTCTGAGTTCTGTCCTCTTTCCTGGTTGTACAGTATAATCGATATTCAGAGGATGTGATTTTCCATCTATATAAAAGGAACATTTGTTCGGTTTTGATTAAAGGGTTTTGTGGTGTGATGTGTATATCTGGACACAATAATGGACTTACATTTTTTTAATTAATGGGAGTCTTTTTAAATATCATCCCATACAATGTATTCCTTTTACCCTTTCCTTTTTTCTCTAAGAATGGAGCAAAGTAACATTTACCCATCGTAATATTAACTGAAATACAGCTGTCCTATTTTTAAACTTTATTTTGGTACACCTTAAGAATTATAAAACATTATAGTACTCATTACATTTGTGAGAAAATGGGATCTTCAAAGTGGAGATACGTGACTGTGGACATGTTGTTTGAAAATCGATTGCCTTCCTAGCAAGGTGACATCCTGACACCATTATCAGTTGTGTGTGTGTGTGACCTTAGCGTAACCTAGGCTTAGTTTTTATTAATACTGACAATGTCTTATCTCTGTGTATGTCTTTGTCCCCTTTTAAACTGTTAAACACTGAGCTTTTCATTGGCCTGCTGTCAGATTGAAAGCTCCAATTAGTATTTTGATTTGTTGTCAACAATAGTTATCCAGCCATCTCTGGTCCCATAGTGCAGAGGGATACAGCTTGAATAGCAGCTGACAGAAAAGCAATTAATTGTTCATTTATAACAAAAAATACAGTTCCATTATGCTGCTCTCCCTTTCAACACATGATCAGTTTTTATAAGAGGATTTCTACAGAAATACATCATAGGTGTCCTGACACTGACTGACCCAGTCAAAGTAATCCTGAAATAACAGCTTATGTCCCCTCACATTTATGACAAGCTTAAACTGTTTTGAGTTATAGGGTCAATAGGGCTTTTCCCTCATGTTTAGATCTTTTTGTCAGAATGTCAAACGCTTCTTAATAGCCCTGTAAGTTCACATCGCACATACAATGTAGGTATCATCTTTGACACATATTTTGTGTCCCAACGTAAAACTCATCAATTGGTCGTGTGCATGTGATGGATGGATTTTGGTGGTATGGTCTAGTTGTAAATGCTTTCAATAGGGAGACCATTATCCTTCGTGGCAGTTATCTGGCTAATAATCATGCTGTATAATTCCCGTCTGGACTTTAGGTCTGCCAAAGTAAAGAGCATAATCTTTCGGTCTTGCTCCATGATTTACCACATTGCGCCTTGGATATTTGCCTTTTAACTTTTTTTTGGAAACATGTAAAATGCAAGCCTCTATCATTCAATATGAAAGAGACAAAGTACCACACATCTGAACTTGGTTGCAGCAATCTCATACAAGACCGGCAAACAATGGGGAATACCCATGGCCTCTTGCTGCTGCTTTACTAGACAGCACAGAAGAAAAACAAAGTCTTTGTCCGGGTTCTAGTCAGATTGAGGACACTTGAAAAACCGGCTTGCTCTAATGTGTATTGTTCTGGCAAAGGTCCAATCTCTGATAAATAAAATGGATAAACTGCAAAGTAGGATTGCATTCCAAATTGACATTAGGAACTGAGACTGAGACTTGGCCTTACACCTTCGGGTTGCCATTGCCCCCTGCATGGATTTCATTTTTTGCCAGGACCGAACTCACTACACTACCAAAAGATAGGGAGAAGGTGCTCCATTGTCTACCTCAAGTGGTGCCCAAAGGTGGAGATCATTTCTTTAGACTTAGAGCACCTCATGATGGAAGGCTGGCCATTTTATCAGCCCGGGGAATTTACATTGGTTGTGTAACATCAGTGTGTGTCCCGCCGCAGGCGGATAACAACGCAGTGCTTGAGGAGCTGTATGGGTTTATCGACAGGATAGAAACTTTATGGCCATAGGCTTCCTTTTATTGTGGCCTGGGATTTAAACACATTGCCAGCATGAATACAGTCCTGCAAATATATTATCAGCACTTCAGCTGCCCCACACGCATTGTTAACAGACTGGACCATGTTTATTCTCCTATCCGACATGGTTGATTACACTTATTGTAAGTCGCTTCAGTTAAATGAAATGTAATGTAAGTCAGACCACATCTCATTGCTGATGCTGTACAAGACAGACTGGAGATGCAGACAGTTGAGTTCTGGACTGTCAGACTTTGCTCTCCAGCACTGCTTTGGCATCTCTGAGTGGTGTGTCTTTAGGAATTACAGCGTAAACATTTTCTTCATTTATCGGCATAAATTACATTTCATTTCAAAAGCCTATTGTGTCATGCTGCAAGAATTGTATTCCAAAAACAAAAGGTGTATTGACCCGGAGTACTCACCGCGGACCTCTTTGAGTGATAATGAATTAAATAAGGATGAACTTTGTCTCACATCCTAATATTGTAACAACTTACACAGCACAAAACAAAATAGCTTTTAAAAATCAAGACGCCACTAAAATAAAAGCATCTTTCACACAGAAAACACATATCTAGTATTTGAGATAACAGTCTATGCAGGTTGTACTGTGTAATATAGGGTTCTATGAATATGAAGTTGCTTCAAGGGGAGGGAAAAGGGCTGGCAGGTCATATTCACGCAGGGATTAAGGTATTTACAGATAGTATGTCAACATTTTGATTACTGAACTGACATTCCTGAATCAGAAGCCCAGGAAAAACTGCTAACCACACAAATAATATCCGAGAGACGGTTCACAATACCTCTACTATAAAATGTCTTCTTGGCGCATAAAAGTTTACCATGGTTTAGTCATAGGAGAACTGGATGGAAGACATGCTAACTGTTCTCTTGTTTAAAAAGACTTACTATTAAGTTTTAGAGCTGCTCCAAGTCTTCATTGTGTCACTGTGGGAAATAAAGCAGACAGCTAACGCTAACCACACCATGCATCTGTATTCTCATAATTTAATGGCAACATTTACCTATTGAAGGATGAAAAAGATTAAAAAAAAGTAATTGAAGACATGAGTCAAGAAAAACATATTGTTACTTTCTTTCATCCCAATGTGACATACAGAGGAAAACACCTACAGTACTAGCTAACATCAGCCTTGGAAATGCGCTAGACGTCCAATGTCACCTCCACAAATGTGTTTGGCCGTAGACAATGGCAGGCGCTCCAAATGATTACAGCCACTATATCCACTCTAGGGCATTCAGTGTCGTTTTGAAGCGTCTGACCTTTTTGGGGAGGCTTATGTGATGATTTAAGCAGTGCCCTTGTCTCTACCTGAAAACCCCCTCCTGCACATGATTAACTCCAAGAGCTTTGCTTCCTCCTGCTCATAAAATATACAATGGCCATTACGCCGCTGACCTTCCAGATGCCTGGCCTAATATATTTAGGATAAAAAATGAATATGTGGTTGCAAATCATGGTCAGTCATGTCTCCCAGCTGCTTCTTGCTGCTGATGTTGAGAGAAAAACAAGGTTGGTTCATTTTCAGTGTAAAACAGAACGAAAAAAAAGCAAGAGGAAGAAAGTCACATAGCACAGCTGTCTGCCTCTCTTCCTCTCGTATATTCTCTCTGTCCTTCATCTGACTTTTTCTCTTCTCTCCTTCTTCTGTCTTTCTCTCATCTCCCTCTGTCTTTTTACACTGACTTCTCTCTGCAACACAAACAGCCGCCCTGAATGCTTTTCTTTCTATCTCTTTTCACGGTGAATGATGTGCTTTGGTTTAACCTCCTATGTGTTGATGTAGTCTATCCGTTTGAAATGGTTTATGTTGGTAAAGGTTCATGTTGGTAAAGGAGGTGTTGTGGCTCAGGCTTTAGCCGTTTGGTAACACCTGGAAACTGCTTGACATCTTCCTGAGTAATTTCATATATGTATACATTCTATCTATACGTTTGATATACTGTACCCTTGCATCCACCCTCTGACAGGCTCATAGTAGATACGGTATGTTGGTAGATTAGTCCCGCCTTCTTGACACCCAGCAACAGATCTATTGAACCAATGCATGATGAAATCGTTTTATGCAGACATTGATGAGCAACTTGTCAGTTGGCGGGAAGTCAGAAGATGGTCAGGCACTACTGGCAAAACAAGAAATTGCCCTTACATTAAAACAAGTCGGGAAGGGATTAACAGGAGAAGAATAGAAAGAAAGAAAAGTAAAGGGAACTGGAGAAAGGAATGTGACAGTGATAAGAAAAGCCACCAGGGGAAGAGGGAAAAAGCTAAGTACAGCAAAAGATGAGCAGATAAATGATAGGATAAAGGGGAGTGTTAGAAACAGGAAGTAAAAGATAAGGAAGACAAAGAATAAGAGAAGAAGAGGAGCTGATAAGCAGACACCTGAGATAATACAAATGCAGTTGTCTCTCATCTTCCATTTACTCATTATAAAAAGTGACTCCGGTGTCCGGATGTGGCTGAACTGCCGTACTTAATTAATTGCTCATGGATTATCTGTCCTCTCCTGTGTTTTTTTACGGACCTCTTTAAATGTGCCTCGGCGAAAATGTCTTATCAGCTTCTCTTAACCAAATTGAAAAAGCCTCCCTCCCTGGATAGACAGACTTAAACAATGTGGAATTTAAATGATGTTGGACATGCATCAAAGATGTCAAGAGGACCTCTGAGGTCAATCAGAT